TGAGGCAGCGTTAGCACAGCTGCTACTTAAGGGGCTGCCCAACAACAGCACCCCCCGGAGTCCCCCGTGAACCGCACCAGCCAGAACTGCCTGACGCACGCACCCCAAACCCCCTCCCTGCACCCCTCTGTCCCAGCTCAGACCCTGGATTCCCTCCTGGAGTCAGCACCCCTCCTGCACTGCAGCCCCCTCCCCCACTCCAAACACCGTGGCCCAACACTCACCCTCTCCTACACCCCCACTTCCCAGAGTTTGCACCTCTGCAGGAGGCCTCACCACCTCCTGCCCCCCAACACGGTGAACGTGAGCAAGTGAGTGAGGGGGAAGGGGGAAGAGCAAGGGATGGAAAGGGGGAAATGGAGTGAGCGGGGCAGGGCCTCGGAGCAGGGGGCGGGACAAGTTCAGTTTTCTGCAGTTACAAAGTTGGCTGCTCTAGAAGCAGGCTGGGGAGCCACAATGGGCCAACCTCCATCCTCACAACCCTCAGAGAGCCCCGGGGGAGGGCGGGAAGTGGGACGCTCCGAGAGGAGCCATGCGCCACTCCAGGGCCACCTGAAGCCAAGGCGGCAGCAAATCTCCAGGCAAGGGCTGCCGGGTTCGGAGGTTTTTGCCCTTTGGCTGACTGTGCAGGCTTGAGTGAGGGGAGGGGTATCTGGGTGATCCTGAAAAGCAACAAGTGGCGCTGCAAGGTTTGGGCCAACCACGCCAGCACGGAGGGTGCTGCCCTGCTCTGAGAGCACTTCGATAGAGCCAGCAACAGGGAGTCTGTACCCCCGGCCACAGTCTGTACCCCCGGCCACAGTCTGTACCCCCGGCCACAGGGCTTCCCTGACTTCACTCCTGTCTGAGTGAGAGCGGGTCTCTCTGCAACACCCCATCCCGACTGACGCGTAACAACGGTCACTTTCCACGGCTGTCAGGGAATCTTCCCAGCACCCACCTAGGCATCTCCCCGTCCGTCCTCCCTTCACGCATTAGGTCAGCCTGCCTGCAGCCCCAGCACGTGGGCATCTCACCCGATCGGCCCGCCCTTCCCACAGCCCTGGGGCCAAGCGCCTCACCCCATCGGCCCACCAGCCATCCTGGCACTTCAACTGATGGGCCCCCTCACCTCCTGCAGCTCTGGTGTTCAGCCATCTCCCCATGCGTGCAGCCCTGGCATCCAGGTGCCTTGCCCTCCCAGCACCCTTGGCACCCAGGCATCTTGTCTGATGGGCCTACCCTCCCCCACAGCCCTAGTGCAGGCATCTGACCTGATCAGCCCACTCCCCACACAGCACTGATGCCCAGCACCTCACCTGATTGGCCCTTCCTCCCAGCCCTGTAGAGCTCAGATGCCTTACCCTCTAGGCCTGCCTGCCCACAGTCCTAGCCCCCAGGTCCTGTAGCCAGTCGGCTGGCCTGCCCACTCTGTTATCCCAATACCTAGATATCTCCCTCACTGCAGCTGCCTGTCGGATCTGCCAGCAGCTTTAGCATGCCTTGCAGTCTCTGGTCTGTAGTATACAGCACACTACACAACCTCCATGCTGCCTTTTGCCCTTGGCATCTATGGAACTGTCACACCAGTTTGGCTAAAAAGTATTTTTACCCGTCTTCACAGACAAGGTCAGCTCCCAGACTGCTGCACTAGGCAGCACAGCACAGGGAGGAGGTGGGCAGCCCTCAGTGGAGGTTAGGAACTGTTTAGAAAAGTGGGACTTACACAAATTCATGGGGCTGGACCTAGTGCATCTGAGGGTGCTGAGGGAGTTGGCAAATGTCATTGCAGAGCCTTTAGCCATTATCTTTGAAAACTCGTGGAGATCAGGGGAACCCCCAGACGACTGGGAAAAGGCAAATGTAGTGCGTGTCTTTAAAAAAGGGAAGGAGGACAATCCAGGAAACTACAGACCAGTGAGCCTCACCTCAGTGCCTAGAAAAATCCTGGAGGGGATCCTCAAGGAATCCATTTTGAAGCACTTGGAAGAGAGAAAAGTGATCGGGAATAGTCAACATGGACTCACCAAGGGCAAGTCCTGCCTGACCAATCTGATTGCCTTCTATGACAAGGTAACAGGCTCTGTGGACACAGGGAAGGCGGTGGACGTGATATACCTTGACCTTAGCAAAGCTTTTGATACAGTCTCCCACAGTATTCTTGCCAGTGAGTTAAGGAAGTAGGGATTGGAAAAATGGACTGTAAGGTGGATAGAAAGTTGGCTAGATTGCCAGGCTCAATGTCTCGATGTCTGGCTGGCAGTTGGTATCAGGTGGAGTGCCCCAAGGATCGGTTCTATGGCTGGTTTTGTTCAACATCTTTATTAATGCCCTGGATGAGGGGATGGATCGCACCCAGGCAAGTTTGCAGATGACACTGAGCTAGGGGGAGAGGTGGATATGTTGGAGGGCAGAGATCAGGTCTAGAGTGACCTAGACAAATTGAAGGATTGGGCCAAAAGAAATCTGATGAGTTTCAACAGGGACAACTGCAGAGTCCTGCATTTGGATGAGAAGCTGTGTATGAGTCAACAGTGCGCCCTTGTAGCCAAGAAAGCTAATGGTATATTGGGGTGCATTAATAGGAGCATTGCCATCAAATTTAGGGTAGTGATTATTCCGCTTTATTCATCACTGGTAAGGCCACGTCTGCAGTATTGCATCCAGTTCTGGGCCCCCCACTATAGAAAGGACGTGGACATATTGGAGAGAGTCTAGTGGAGGGTATTGAAAATGATTGTGGGGCTGGAGCACATGACCTATGAGGAGAGGCTGAGGTATTTGGGTTTGTTTAGTCTGCAGAAGAGAAGAGTGAGGGGGGATCTGAGAGCAGCCTCTGACTCCCTGAAGGGAGGTTCCAAAGAGGGAGAGAGGCTGTTCTCAGTAGTGATGGATGGCAGAATGTGGTGCAATGTCTCAAATTGCAGTGGGGGAGATTTAGGTTGGTGTGATGGGGCGTCTGCCCCGCACTGGCCCTTTAAGGGTAAAAACCAGCCCTGGGAGAGGGCGGAGAGCAAAGTCCACAGCTGTGGCAGATAGTAGCCAATTAGGGCCCAGGTAGGGCTACATAATTAAGGGCTCCAAGCGGGGGAGGAAGAGAGACTCTAGCTGGGGAACAGGAGGGATCTGGCTTGGGACAGGCTGGGATGAGACTAGCCTAACCTCACTCCCAGGCTGCCGGGCCTGAAGCAAGACCTCAGGGTTGCCTATCCTGTAGCCAGGATAGGCAAAGGCTGCAGGTCCACCCCTCTGCCTATGATGAGTGGCCAAGTCAGACTGCAGCTTGCCCTTGAGGCAGGGGCTAGATGAAGAGTGGCAGTGGGTCACTGAGGCAAAGGTGGGTCTAGGGGAATTGTGGGTTCCCTATGAGGGGAGGATACCAGAATGCAGAGAATGATAAACAGCATGTCCCCTCTTCCCCCCCCCCCCCTCTTTTGCCCCAAAGGGGGCTGAAAGACACTGGAGTGGGCACTGCCAGAGTCCTGGAGAAGACCGTGCAGTCCAAGAGTGACACAGGTCTGAGCCGGAGCATGACATGAGGACACCGACGCCCACCAGAGGGAAGCCAAGCAGGACATGTGCAGCAGGTAGATACAAGCTAATTCCCAGTGCTACTGGCAGGAGGCGTGGGAGTGGTCAATGTACCCTGTGACAGTTGGCTATTAGGAAAAATTATTTCCCTAGGAGGGTGGTGAGGCACTGGAACAGGTTCCCTAAGGAGGTGGTGGAATCTCCAGCCCTAAAGGCATTAAGACCTGTCTTGACAAAGCTCTGCCTGGGATGATTTAGTTGTGGTTAGTCTTGTTTTTAGCAGGTGGTTGGACTCAGTAACCTCTGAGGTCTCTTCCAGCCCTAGGAGTCAATGATGTTATCCGGTTAGAGACATCAGTGCAACTGTGTGCAGACCTCAGTTTGAACATGGCTGCCATCCGTGCCAGCTAAACCAGGGAGAACTAGACATAAGTGTCCCTGCACAAACACAGCATTGTGTGTCACGCTTTCAGGTAAACTGCTCAGCTCTGCATCTGGCCCAGGCCTTATGGAGACGCATTGGTCTAAGAGAATGATGCCAGTTTCCACCAGCGTTCCCTCTAATCTTTTCCATCCAGGTGCAGAATACATTTTGTTCTGTGCACTGCAGTGTGTGAATGTGCATCATCAGTAAACACACAAACTTAGCTGTGGGTGCTCTGCTAATCAACTGGGTGACACTGGAATCTGAGTAGCCGCACAAGTGTGCAGCTCACAGGGAACACTGGTTTTCACTTGGCTTTACCATTAGGTTGGAGCCTCTGTTCAAGGGACATTAACTCCCCCCCCCCTTTTTTTTAAGCTAATTGTTTAAGTCCTAGCCCTGTTGCTGACAGAGCCTCCTTAATTGCAGGCCCTGCTTTAAAGAGAGAGCCTGTGACAGGGTAAGAACTGCCCCCTTCTTTCTCTCGGAGCTGCTATTTGCTCAAGGCAGTAGCTTTTTGGCTACAAACATCATACTGTGGCAAGGAAGTTGGCTGAGGAGCCAGGAGCAGAGGTCAAGGCCAGGCATGCTTTCCCATAGTCCAGGGTGCCCCACTGTTTCCCTAATGGTAGAAACTGGATGTCTGGCATGGTAACTCATGAGATCACTTTTCTCATCTTGGGTGGTACAAAGCTCGCTCTTGCTGCTTTCTCAGCTGCGAGGCACCTGGATAATTTGGGAAGCGTGCAAGTGAGTCCCTTGAATGCTGCAGGAGATGTGCCATTGGAGCTACTGACTTGTATGTATCCCCATTTCCCAGGTATTCCCTTACCTGCTCTTTGGGTCCAATGCTAAAGCCCTGGAATTGGGCTTCAAGGAGAGGGCGCAGGGGAATGATAGCAGGGTTTGCCTTGCCACGCTTGCATGTTACCTCTCCCCTTTGCTGCAGAGCAACCATGGGCAACCCAGGCTAGTGAATGGGCCACAAGATGGTTGTAACCAAGCTGGTCTCTCAGGATAGGGTAGCTTCGCTAACTGTGCTGGCATACCTAGAATTTGCAGAAGGTGCTGCTGGAACTGTAGCAGCGCTTTAAATGCAGAGGGAGCATGCTTCGTTTATAGTCCGTGTTGTGTGCATTCAGCACGGACCTCACTTCATGTGCCCTGGCTTGTGCGTGTCACTAGGGTAATACAAGTAGGAAAAAACTGCACAGATGAAAACCTGCAGAACCGGGGGCAACACTAAACAAAATTTCTTGTGAGCCACACCTAGAACCCCAATGGGCCACATGCCTGCCACCGGCCTAGAGCACTTGTACGTACCTGAGGTCACTGTACCCCCACTGCCCAATGTCCACTCACCTAATTGATCTGTAAAGGAAAAAGAAAGCATGAGCTTTTCTAATGCAGATACTTAAATGTTGACGTCTCAAACCAGCCCCTCCCTCATGCCAGAGGGGCCAGGTAAAAGTGGCTACCCACTCAGCTGAAGATACCGTGGTGAGCTCTACAGCGGTGGCTGCTCCTACTTCACGTGGCATGAGGGAGATTAAGGATGTTAAGAGGCAGGCAATTGGCTAACTGTGTAGTCGATACAATTCGTATCGACTACATGATTAGTCGATATGGGAGAGTGCTCCAGGAGCTACCCCTGCTGCGGCTCTGCAATTTAAATGTAATAGGAACCGGGCACGCAGGAAGACTGGCTCCTGTTACGTTTAAAATGCAGAGCTGCAGCGGGGTAGGTCCTGGGTCTCAGCGCAAACCACAACTGAGCAGTCCTGGCTTGTGCCGGGTCTAGACACCCCATCCGCAGGGCAGTCCTAGTGGGGAGTGGGGACACCCCTGCCCTGTTCCCCCACTCTCCCCCCAACAAGCTGCTGCAGTGAAGCAGCTCCTGTCTGGGGGGGGATCCTAAGTCTCACTGGGATCCCCCACAGATGGAGGCTGCTCCAGCAGCAGCCCTTGTGCTGCTATCTCTAACGGAGGCAGAGAATCGCACTGGGAGACTGTGCCGGGGGTAGCCAGCTTTTAAGCCAGCTCTCCCCAGCACCTGGTCCTACTTCCCCACCTTACACACACACACACACACACTTGCTGCCTCTGATACAGAAGTAGTAAGGGGGGAGGGAATATGACTTGACTACTCTTTTACATCCCTAAGAGATAGGAACAACATGGCAGTTTGAACCCTGTGGGACTGCTGGCACCACTGGGCCTGCAGTGCAAGTGTGACACCCTCCAGTGGGCCCAAAGCAGGGACCTTTGAAGCTAAGTGCATGAGTCTCTACCACAGGAACTAAAACTCAGCTAAGGCTGTAGAGCATGCTCATTCTTTCTCTCTGTAAGTGGTCTCAGTGCCACTCCATGGGACAGAGCACCATGCTCAGCAGGTGTGTGGGTTACACAGGTGCAAACTGAACCTTTAGTCAGCAAGAGTTGCCTGTTCCCCCAGCAGGCAGAGAGCAGAGCAGCAAGTGCTGAGGAGAAGACTAGGGGGTGGAAGCTACCATGCTGGGCTGCAGAACTACTCCTTTAGCCAGTGCACTGCACAAGGGACAATCCTGAAAGCACAGCCCTACTGTAGTGGTACCAGGATAGAAATGCAGGGCCGACTGAAATGTGTGTTTTCCACAAGTCCCCTTGGGAGATCAGGGTGGGGCCTGTGGCAGAAGAGCACCCACAGAATCAGTTGTCTGGAGCCACAGATAGGCTCAATTGAGGCCAGGTGGAAGGAGAGTGCAGGTATGGGATTGGGAGTTTGTAAAGCTGGCATAAATGTGCACAGGTCCAGGAGCCTGGACTCCTGGGTACTAACTCACTCTACCATCCGCTCCCCCATGGCCTGAACTCGTTCTGTCCCTCAGTTTACTCATCTGTAAAGTGGGGGCAATGGTGGATAGATTCATTCTCTCATTTCTGTACCATTCTCGGACCATGGAGAGCGCTAGCCAAGGCAGAAGTGTTATTAGCTATAAGGGGGAGGGAATTACCTTCAGCTGAGATCACAGCTCCCTTACTGGAGACCTGCGTGGTATGTGCCATGGCCAGGCCCGGATCTGGAACGGCAGCACCTAAAAAGACAGGATACACCGTTACCCCATCAGCCACCTGCCTTGTGCCCCGCCCCCCTTTGCATCTCAGGACAGCACCTGGCAGGGAAATCAGCAGGTGGCTCAGCCAGGTGCTCAAGGAGATCCCAGAAAACTTGAGTCCCACAAGTCCCTGGCCCAGGAGACAACACTCTTCCTCCCCGCGGTTGGACAGCAAGGAGAGACTCCCCCAAAGTCCCAGCCAAGCACCGACGCAAAGAGGCAGCGCCCGGGGACGGGGACGGGTCCAGGGCACTAGGCGGAGGAGCCGAGCCAGCCTGGCGGCACCGGGCTGCGATTGTAGGTTGCCGAGGCTCACACGAGAGAGGCGGCGCGGGACCACAAAGTTACCGTCGCGGTCTTAAGCGCCAGCCTCCGGCACCGCCCCCGCGGCTTCCGCATGCCCCGGGCCGCCCGCTCGCTCCCACAGGGC